CCCTCACAGGTCTTGCTCTGTAGGCCCTTCACCATCTTTGCAGCCCTCCTTTGGACTCTCCAGTATTTTAGGCCCTTCTCATACCATGGTGCCCAAAGCTGCACGCAGTGCTCGAGGTGAGGCCGCAGCAGGCAGAGCAGAGCAGGACGAGCACTCCCTGAGCGGTGCAGTGCTGGCCTCGGAGCACCCCAGGACATGGTCGGCCCTCCTGGCTGCCAGGGCACGCTGCTGGCTCAGGCTCAACCTGCTATCAACCAAAACCCCAGATCCTTCTTTGCAGAGCTGCTCTCCAGCCTCTCATCCCCCAGTCTGTACGTACAGCCAGGGTTGCCCCTTCCCAGGTGCAGAATTTGGCACTTAATCTTGTTGAATCTCATGAAGCGGGTGGGTGATTGCCCAGCCCTCTAGTCTCTCAATATCTCTCCACAAGGCTCCTCTACCCACGAGAGAGTCAACGGATCCTCCCAATTTAGCATCACTTGTGTTGTTATGCATTTGATTATTAATTGAGATGCAAGAGGAAGCACAGCTGCATAGTATGAAGCGAAGGAGGGGAAAAGGAAGAGTCACTACACACTGAGCAGGTTCTAACACCACATCCACCTGGAATCATAATGGTTGGAAAAGCCCTCCAAGATCATCTGGTCCAACCATCCCCTACCACCAATGTCACCACTAAACCCTGTCCCCAAGCACCACGTCCAGCCTCTCCTTGAACACCCCAGGGACGGTGACTCCGCCACCTCCCTGGGCAACCCGTTCCAGTGCCTGACTGCTCTTTGTGAGCAGAAATGTCTCCTCGTTTCCAACCTCCCCTGGCACAACTTGAGGCCATTCCCTCTGGTCCTTTCACTGGTTACCTGTGAGAAGAGGCCGACCCCCAGCTCCCCACCCCTTCCTTTTGTGCTGACGACCCAGCTTCTGACATCCAGCTCCGCTGATGTGATGAGCCTGAAATTATGCTTGGCCCTCAGAGGCACACAGAACAGACTTAGTTACGAAGCAATTTCAAGTACTGAATGAATGCCAGGGTGTTCTGTTACAAAGCCAGATGAACGGGGATGCACATCACCTAATTTTAGGTATCTAAACTGAGGCATTTCAATTGTACTGACCATCAAGTTTTTATCTATGAGCATTGGAGACAGACAATTCCAGAGGGGGATTCCAGTTATTGCAGCACCTGAGATAAGTTCCTATTTCTGTCTTTGATTTAAAGAGAAGCAAGTGTTCAGCCAACGCACCAGAGGCATCAATATTTCAGTGAACTCCTGGAAACAGATGCCTTAGCAGCACTGAAAGCCTTGCTGAAGTCAAGGTAAATGGCATCCACTGCTCTGCCCTGATGAAACCTGACCATCTTACCACAGAAAGCAACCACACTTTTCAGGCACAAAATCATAGTAAATCCATGCCAACTGCTCCCCATCCCTATCTTCATCTACCAGAAATGTCTTCTACAAGGAGCCATTCCATGTTTTTCCCTTGGGACTGAAGTGAAGCTGGCTGGCATGGGCCCTCTGTTGGACCTTTTTTGATGAAGGCAGAAAATGTGATCTGGTCACGAAGACTTTCCCCTTGTCAACGTGGCTTTTCAAAGATGGTAGCAAGCAGCTTTGCAAGAACATCAGCCACTTCTCACAATACTCTGGGCTTCAGCCTCTCATGGATTTGCACAGTCAAGATCCAACGAGCAAATGCCACACAAAGCCTCATGGCTTCCACTGTACGTCAGTGTAGACAGAAGTGCTGAGAAGGCTCCAAATCTTCAGTGTCCCCTCATGTAAATTATCTTGCTAGGCATTGATCATGAGCTAATACTCCAAGGGATACTCTGTGGGATGGCAGAAGCTGGGGGCTGAACTGGAGCCCACCCAGCTAATCACGCATCAAGGATAGCATGCCCAGCAGTGAAGAACACTGGAGGATGCATACAGGCTTCTTGGCTGAGTTCTTGCAGGTGCTGGAACCAGCAGCTCCTGCTTGAGGTGCATCAGGTGAGAGAGGAAGGCTGGGGTGGCCAACCAGCTGAGGATCTTCCAGTCCTTGTCTCCCAAAACATCAACCTTTTAATGACTCCGTCCTTACCTCCTGTTTTACCCTAGTTTGAGACTGGCAAGCAGCTATTTTCCACGCTTTCCTGGTACCTGGCCTCACTCTGAGGAACACGCAGGTCCTGATGGATCTCCAAAGGGTTGATTGGGAAGTCATGGCCCAGAGCACGCGATCTATCACCCTATATGGGATATCTCCTCTATGTGTCCTTGAACTGTTGTAGTGGAAGGCTTTGTGCAACAAGAAGGGTGCAAAGAATACGTAACAACTAAAAATACATTTTATATACATATGCCTATCACTGACCAGAGATGATCTAATACTTTTTTACCACGTAGGCATCTCAAAAAACTGGCATGGAGTAGATGTACTCATGCGCATACACGTGTATATGGGGTTTTGTGTGTAACACAGGATGTTTAAGGTATTGTGCAAACCCAGAATCACTTTGATTTCATTGTCAAGGTAACACATCACCCACATTGAGGGATACAAGACTCAGAAGGATTTTTCTGAGAGGTCCAAACAAACCCCAAGGTCCCCAAGGGAAGAGCCACACTGTGTTTGTAGAGAGGAACCTTCATTGCACGGACACAACACGCTGTTAGCACTACGGTGTCTTGCAGTGGGTGGTTAGTCCCGCTCACCACGTCCCACGTTCTGCCTTCTTCAGCAGGACAGGCGAGGTGCTGACGATCAGTTCTCCTGCCATGACCATGCCAGAACATGCTCCGTGTCACGCAAAGTCTTTGTTGGTAGGGTGGTGACAGTCACATCCCTCCCTGGTCTATGGAGAGGTGTCTGCTCCCTCCCTGTGGTCATCCCGGAGCCCATGTACCAGCCCTACATGTGCCCGTTGGGCCAACGCACCCGTTCCTGAGACTTGGGACAGAGTCTGTGACCTAGAACCGCCACCTGGGCCCCTCCTATGTACACAGGGGATCACGGGTGCCTGTGATGTCCCCTAGGGGTGCTGGAGCTCTGACATCCATGGGACTTGGGGTGCTGTGAATTCCCTGTGGGATCTCTCACTAGAGGGGAGAGGTGTCAGGGTTTCCCTGGGGGAGATCTGGGAGCCCTGGGGGTTCCAGGCATCCTCACAGGTATGGGGATGTCCCCAGGAGACGTCAGGGTCCCCAGTCCCCCATAAGCACCGCAGAAGCATGCAGAGAGACCTCGGAGATGTGGGGCACGCCAACTGGTCCCTCACTCATGTGGCAGGGGCACCAGGGAGCTCCCAGGGGTGTTTTGGGCGTTCCCAGAGGGCACTCACCACGGGGGCGGTGGGCTCAGATTTATCCTGGGAGCACGATGTGTGCAGGTGGGGGCCGAGGGAAGCCTCTTTATCTGTGGGGCTGTCAGGGCTGGCCAGGCTGAGCAGCAGCAGGTTGGTGCAGGCAAAGGTTCTCTTCAGGTTGTAGCAGTTTTGGGGAGTGCTGTTCCTGCGGAACTCTGCGATGGGGGGACTGACACGTGGGGCAGCGACCCCCCTGAGCATGGTCAGGAACCCCCCGAGACCCTCCCAACCCCTCCATGACCCCCACTGGCCCCTATTGCCCCCGATAACCCTTCATCACCCCGTTACCTCCCAAATCTCCCCCTTAACCCTCTATTTTCCCAGTGCCCCCAGCAGCCCCCGCTGACCCCACAGCCATGCTGGTGACCCTCTAGCTCCCCGGCATTCCTCCCCCAAGCCTCCCCACATGTGACCTGAGGGGGTCCTGCCACCCCTCGCCACCTTCCCTCACCCCAGTGCCCCCCCAGCCACTCCCCAGTCCCCGTCCCCACGCTGTCCCACCCTGAGCTGCCTTTTACCCCGGGGAGGAGATGGCCGCGTGCCTGGCGAGGGCCTGGGGGGCCCCCGGGCCCAGCAGAGGACAGGAGACGGGGGGCTGTGCCTGGCTGCCCAGCGGGGGCTCCATGGCCTCCAGGAGCTCCTTCGACTGCAGGAGGGTTTTCACCCCCGCGTTGGCCATGGCTCTGCCGGTGCGAGGAGCAGCGTGCTCGTGCAGGTGCCGTCCCTACCGGGGGGTTACGGGGCTCTGGCAGCCCCCCGGGGGCTCCTGCCCACAGCCGTGACATCACAAGCATCGGCGGTTCCATCAGGTCACGGTGCTCCTGTCCCAGCCCCTCGCCTTCGGGGCCTCCAGTTGCACTTCAAATTGCTGTTTTAGTCATTTCTAGCCCCAAATGAGCCACCAAAATACTTGTGGGTTTGGCACTAGAGTAGAGGGCAGTATTCCCCAGTGCAAAGTGCCACGGGGGTGAGGGGACAGTGAGAGCAGGACGACTCTGAGTCAGGAAAGGCTGAAGTCAGAGATAAGTGCTAAAGGATAAAGAATTTTGAATAAAGAATTTAGTAAGAATGAAGAATTTTGACTCAGTGCTTCCAAACCTCACCTCCCTACTTCCCTTAAAACAAACAGGCGGACCTTTTGGGAGGGCTCACGAATCTCTGCTCTGCTCCCCAGCTGGATTCTTTGCTCAGGAGGAGGCAGTTTGGGGCAGACCAAATTCTCATCGTGCTGATTCACAGGCTGGGATAGAGGAGACCAGTGGGGCACCAGGTGCCACTTCTGCTACCCTCTGCTGGCTGGGATGGGGGAAGCCACGCAGGTGGAAGCTTAACTTTTAGTCTCTGTTGGTAGCCAAGGGATTGCTAGGCTGCCTGGAAGAGGACAGCTGTCGTGTGAGGGTGCGCAGGAGCTTGCCAAGGCACCCTGCCTTTGAGCAGACCATTACACAGAAACCTACAGCACCTCTGCTGTTACTGCGAGGCCCCGTTGTCCTACCTGTCAGAGCGCATCAGTAAAAAAAGGAGGTTGGGAGGAAATCACAAGGGCTTAGCAATAAAACTCACGGAAAGCAAAATAAACTCCCACACAAGTAGCAACTGGAATTGGTTGGACTACGGAGGAAGTTAACAACAGAAAAGACGAGGCAACGCAGGATAAAGACTTTTTTATAAGTGAATGAGCAGCTGGCTGCAGTTCTCGCCTTGTTTGCTCACAGAGGAAATCGGTTTTCAGCCATCAGTGGTGCCCAGCAGATTCGTCTTTCAGGGGTGGAATAACTTCTCCCGTCTCTAAAATTCTGTCCCCCTGATGGGATGAGAGAGCATGGTGAGCATTTTCTCTTACAACCAATCTATTCCTTTACACAGTTCAGTCTTTCACTTAAGCTGTGACTGTCCCCGCTTCCAGACAAAAAAATCTTACTTCAGCTTACCCAGAACACTCTCATTCACTCAGCATGTCCCAGGGTGCTGGTAAAACATCATAGCCAAGTTATCTGAAATCTGTACTTGCTTTACCCCTTTCTCTTCATGCCACGGAAATATGGACAAGCATTTAAAGAGAACGTTGTTTTTAAAATTTGCACCAGATTTATAGCACTGCATAACCACCTTCAACATAGCACCACCCTTAGTGAGTCTCCCAAGCAGTCTCTGTGGCACACGAAGAACTGCGTAATCCCTCAAATAAACCAATCCAATGCCTGACTTTTGTTTCTCAAAGCTTCGGGCACTGCTGTGGCCTTCTGAACTGACCCTACTCGAGTGGTTGGGCTGATGTCAGAGACCCACAGCTTGACCGCACTGTTGCTATGTGATTGATAGGGGCGGAACTTTCAAAATTATTTTTTTTAGATGAAGCAGAAATGGCAGAGCCAAACTGGTATGAGAATATTTGCCCACCAACTTGCTGCGCTGGTCAACGAGCAGCAGCTCAGAGCAGTCCAAGAACCACTAAAGACCAAACCACCCGACAGACACTGGGCAAACCAAGAACTGAAGAGGAAAGCTTCGGGCTGCGGTGAGCCCTGCGGGGTCTGCGTGCTCTGGGTGCAGACAACATCAGGGGACGTTTGTGTTTCCTGCCCAGGATGGGCAGTGCTGCCAGCCAGCTACCTGAAAGTCTGCAGTTACAGAAGGGAAATGCCGATGAAACAGGAGCTGTCTGCTCTAAGAATGAGACAAAAACTGTACGAAAATACCATGAATGTAGTGCAGTGCTGCTTCAGGACAAGCTGCCTCGTGTGCATCCTTCTAGAAATCCTCTTTGCAGCTGCTGCACAAACCTGTGCTTCTCCTCACGCCTTCCTTCCCCTGCCTCTACTCACAGAGCCGGAGGCTGACCCAAGCACTCCGCGGGCTTACCGGGAATATTGCCGGGTTGGACGAGACGATTCCGTACGGCGCCCTCTGAAAGCACGAAAGCGGAGAGAGAAAAAGGAACATCACCCAGCAGAAACATCAAAGCCCTGAAAAGCACCCAGCCCTCCTGAAACACAAACCACGCTGGGCGCAAGGCCCGGTACCCCGGTTGGGGAACCACGCGAAGCTGAGGGGAGCCGGGCACGCACCATGACATGGTACTTCACGTAGTAGTGGACGAGCCAGGCGGGGATCAGCACCTGCGCCACGAGGAAGCCGCCGGCCTGGTAGGCCCGGAACACCTGCGGGGCACGGAGCGGGTCAGAGCCGGGGCCCAGGGCCCAGCTCGGGGCCTGGCTCAGGGCTCAGGGCTCAGGGCTCAGGGCCCGGGGCCGCCCCCCCCCCCCCTCACCCGCTGCCTCCAGAGGCCGCCGGGCTGCAGGAAGCGCTCCCAGAAGGCGGCCACGGGCCCCGGCTGCCGCCGCGGCAGGACGGGCTCCCGCTCGCTCAGCTCCTGGTCCCGCAGCCAGCGCCGCCGCAGGACGCGGAGCTGCTGCAGCCGCAGCCGCTCGTCCGCGCTGAAGCCGCCCATGGCGAGGCCCCGGCCCCGCTCCCGGTCCCGGCGGGCGCCGTGTCCTTGGCGACGGCGCTCGGCGATGACGGCCCCGGGGCCGCGCGGCGCTGCCGTCACCGGGCGGGGCGGGGGGGGCCTCGGGTGGCGCAGCGGGGGCAGCGCCGGGCTGGGAACGGCAGGGCCGCGGGTTCGAGCCCCGCTCTGGCGGCGCCGCGGCTCCTCCTCGCTGCTTCCCCTGCGCGCGGCTGCTTCACGGACAGCGCTCCCCGGGCCATGGCGGAGCAGGAGCAGGAGCTGGGGCAGGAGCTGGGGCTCTGCTTCCAGCGGCGCTTCTTGGCGGCCCGGCAGCTGCGAGGCTTCCCCTGGCCGGTGAGGTGAGGGCGCGGGGGGCTGTGAGGAGCGGGGAGGGCCCGGCCCGGCTGAGGTTCGGTTTCCCTGTGCTGCAGGAGCTCGAGCAGAGGCTGAGGAGCGCCCCGGGTTCCTCCCTGCTGGCCGATATCCTGCACCAGGTGAGGGCCGGCCTGTCGCGACTATCGTGGTTATCGCTGGACAGGGAGCCTGCTGTGGGGCTGAGGTGCCTTAGCAGCACAGGGCAATCCTCACCGCGTGCAGTTATGTAGAATAAGCTCAGATATAACAAGCTCTCGTTATCCAGCCAGCCTCATCTGTGAGAAAGCACCGCCTCGTGTCTCCAAGCCAGGCGAGAGGGCCCAGGGGGTGCGCCAGGAGGTGGGTGAGGAGCTCGCCTCAGCCTGCCCCTGGGTGCGTGCGGGCCTGGGCTGAGGCAGGAAGGTGAAGAAGGAGATAAAGGCCCCACAAACTGGGTCCAACACAGTAAGGAAGACTTTCAAGGACCACCAGAGACTCCCGAAAGACCCCGAGTGAAAACAAATGTGCACGTGTCAGAAACACTCATGTGTTCTAATGAGTTCCAGGAAATGGCATGAGTGCATTAACTATGACTACAGATATATGATATCTATACTCATATATATATGAAATATACATATGTATACATTTACATGTATATTTTAATTGTATATAACCCCCACAGCTTGAACAATTTGGCATGCACACTAAGTGGATTGATCCCCTGCCCATCCATCTCTGCAATTAAGGAATGCCTCCTTGCTAAAGCTCCAAGCTGAGTCTTAGAGAGTTTCTTTGGCTGACTCTTCAGTAACACTTTTGCCAGCCTTACTTCAGACCCAGCAGGACAGATCTCTTCCTTTCCTTCCTGTTACTTAGCTGTTCTTTATTAGCATCAAAATCAAAGCTCAGTGCACCTGGGTGGAGATGCCCCTAATGCCAGGAGCAAACCTGCCAAGCTGATTTCACATCCCTGTGCCCTGGATGTTAAGAAAGCAGCAGGTGAGCCAAGCCACCCGGGGAATCCCAAAAGCCTTACCATGTTCTGTCTGCATGCTGACAGGAAATCACAAATGAGGCAGCAAGGCAAAAGGAGGAGAGCTAGTCAGACTCTTTTCACTCAGTTTTGCTATTTATTTCTTGAAAAGTGAAAAATACATTTGTTGCCACAGATCTGAAACCTAACAAACTGACTAGAAATCACTAAATTTATTTTTCTGGCTCAGCATCAATTCTTTTAGCTTCAGACTCAAATCACTGTGCATTTTGTGCCCTCCCTAAGATCTTCACTTGGTAATGGGTTTCAACTGCAATTGTTTTTTTATCATTTTAGACCGTTCTCCACCCTCTGTGTGTAAAGTATCCCCCTTCCATCAAGTACAGAAGATGCTTCCTAACTGAACTCATCAAAAAGGTAACGCTTACTTTCCATGTTGCTTGTAACTCTTTGGTTCATCTTGGGATGGGTCTTCTTGAAAATACACCATTGTGGGCCAAGCTGAATTATTCTTAATAATAGAAAACAGCATTTAGTGTAAAACGTTACAGCCAACAGTGTATTAAAGTGGTATTTAACATATGTGTTCTCTGTTCCATGACTAACAATTTGATAACTGAAGCTGTCCTTTTCTCTTCCACACAGCACGAATCCACAACAGCTGAACCCCTGGATGAGTTGTACAACACACTAGCAGATATTTTAAATGAAAAAGAATCTACTCGCTGTTACAGAAACTACTTACTGGTAAAAACTAATGTACTGCTTTGTTATAAATCACTTTTAATCATCTAAACTAAACAACAAGTGGCTTTAAATGTCACATCCAGAAACCCAGAGTGCTTCTGACTTTTTTTTTTTCTAGGCAGTAATATTGACTGTTAACTGCAAAATCAGTTGTCTGTGCTGATCCATCTTTCTCCTCCTCTGCATGTCCTCCAGCCTACTGGAGAATCCGTTACTCTTTCTGAGAGCGAGGCCATTATCTCTCAAGGAACCACAGGGCTCGTCACGTGGGATGCTGCTCTTCATCTTGCTGAATGGGCAATGGAGAACTCCACAGTTTTCAGTAACAGGTAAAAACAGCACCACAGACAGAAAGATGGGGAAAGAAGCCAAGGTATTTTCATTCATAGCATAAGTGAGTTATATGCACAACTATAATTTTATAATGCACAATATTTACCCCCAAAATAGATAAACTATTTGAGTTGGGCTACCGGCTGTTGCTTTTTTCTGTTCTGCAAGTTGAACTTTAATTCATGAGATGACTTCATAGTTTAAGATGGGCTTCAAGATGAAAACCATTACACCAGATAGTCTGGCCTGCTCTGTATGTTTGCTGTTGAATTTTACTGGCTAGGCAGCAAGGTAGCTAACTTTAATTAGTGCACTTCCCTCTTGGATGGGATTCATCCCATCTAACTTCAAGTTTTTGTAGTGCAGATGTGCACAGCTAATCTCATCACCTTGACTTTATTCATAATCAGTGGAGATGAACAAGCACTTTTGGGGAAAGGTTCAGCTAAGCTAGTTTAAAGTATCCACCTCACAAGAAAGGAACTGTGCTCCAGAATCATTTGTCTCTCTCCACTAAGAGAAGAACTGTAAAATCAGTTTAAGTGGAGACAACTATGCTGTAAAAGTCAAGGAACAACACATGAAATGTGTCTTGCTCCAGTGATGGAAGTACTTTGTACCACATGGAAAAGCAGGAGAAGTACTTGAAGTGATGCATTTTTACGCTTATAACTGCATCTTGTTTACCATCTTTATTTAAAATATCTGGTCAAGATTATAGATGTCTTACTCAAAAAATACTGAAATAATTTGTAGTTGATTTTTACCATTAGATATAATTTGAACGTTTTGATGTCATAACTCATAGTGTCCTAATCAATACTTACTTTACTCCATTAACCTTCAGGACAGTCTTGGAATTAGGAAGTGGGATTGGCTTCACTGGACTGGCAATCTGCAAAACTTGCAACCCCAAGGCATATATATTTAGTGACTACCACCATTGTGTTCTCAAACAGCTGGTGGAAAACATCCGTTTGAATGGCTTTGCCGTGCAGCCTGGAACTACTGATCTTATCCAACCAAAATCTGAAGGGCAGGAGGCAGAAGGGAAGAACTACCAACAGCCAAAACTAATTGTTGCAGAGCTTGACTGGGGCTCAGTTACAGAAAAACAACTGTTGGATCTGCAGCCAGATGTCATCATTGCAGCAGGTACTTCTCACTTCTGATTATGCCCGATTGTATGGCATCGTGCAGGAATAAGTAGGTAACAGAAACAAAGGTATTTGTTTGCAGGGTGCAGTCAACCCTACTTTGGTTACTGTGTCTGGAGAAACAGTTCACTTCACCACTTTGTATTCTTCAGCTATTTAACAGTTGTTTACCCAATACTGAAGAGCAAATTATTTGTCTTTTTTTGTATTTTTTAAATCCAGAAACAGATGATAGATCTGCCACCCTTGAGACCCTCATCAATTTTATCTGGAAGCATTATCCTTCTCAAAAAAAAAAAAAAAAAAAAAACACACACCAAAAACACACTACCTTTTTGGAATTTGCTTGTATTTAAATCTTGAGGGAGTCCATAAAAATCTATTAATGGAAAATATAGCAATAGTGAATTCTGGAGCTGTAACTACATGATTTTACTCTCCAGCTTAGGGGTTTTGCAAAGAAAAAACACCTAAAAATTCAGGTAAAGAAATGGTAATGTAATTGTCATCATGATTACAATTCTTTGTAAGGTATCACATGTGATACATCATATACGTGAGTTCTATAAAATGAAGTCACTGCATGTACGTTAACTTAAACCCAGCCATACTGTTGACAGAATGCACAAAACAGCCTGATTTAGACTCATGAAGGCGAGGCAATTCAAAACAGGGTAAATTACATGTATCTACTATTTGCTGGTACTACAGGACATGCTTCTGCTATGCTGCATCATGCATTAGCTGGTACACATGTCTCAATGTTACTGTGTAGTAAACAGCCACCTACTAAATATCAGTTCTGAACACAACTGACAACTTTCAAACTTAAGGTGCTAAGAAGTGAGGCTGATCTTTTGCAGCCCTTAATGGTCAGGTTTTCCACCTTTCAGCAGTTTTCCTACTTGAGGTAAATTACTGAGAATAAAAAGCGTTGCAGCTGAAATCAAGACTTTTCCACTCAGCCTCTGAAATAGATTTCTAACACCATGGTTTTGTCCTGCTAAGGACAGTCGTAACAGTACCAATGCTCAACTTTTGTGCAGTCTCCCTGAACACAGGCTTAAACACAGGGTCTGACAATCCATTACAAAAAGGAACAATGATCTTTAGTGATTTTGGACCAATAATGGAGATGAGGGCAATTTGACATAGTACATAAAATACTGTGTTTTCTAAAATCTCTTCTTGGAAACTTGTAATCCCTCGATAGAGCCATTCTTCCTTAAGTAAATACTTTATAGCTTTATTTCTGCTTCTTGCTCAATTCTTAATAAATATTGAACATTGCCCTTTTTTTTGGCAGATGTGGTATATGATCCAGAGATAACTGCAAGCCTTATTGGTATGCTACAAAAGCTCTCTACTTTCAGAGCAGATGGAAAACCTCCTGAGGTCTATATTGCTTTCACAATTCGTAATCCAGACACGTATCATCTGTTCCAGGCTGAACTAGGTAGGTACCTTTTTCATCAACTGTATCAATAATTGTGGCTTTTTCCCCCAATTACCTATCTGTAGCAGAGATAAACTTTTTTTTTCCTTGTAAAGGGTACTGACCAATAACAGGATTCTTGTATTCAAGAGCAATAACCCTTCCAAATGGATTTGGTCAGGAAATGAAGCTTTAGTTTCTTGTTACATCCTATCACAACTCTCAGTTGTTAAGAATGTCAACTTAAGATGGATTGCAAGTGTGGAGGCAATAGGAAAAATTGTAAAGGTTAAGCTTGAAGGAGGAAAAACATCTGTGCTGCACTGCCACTGTGATAATGTTTCAGATGCAGCCTAAAACTCTTTTACCTTAACTGTTCTTTGAGGGTTAAAAAAGCTAGAACTTTAAATGAAAGGGGAAAGGATGTTTTTTTTTCTTCATATGCTTCAGAAGTTCATCTTTTGCAGCCTACTAGCTGTACAGCTGTCCTACAGCCATTGGCTGATTAGAATAAATTAGAATCAATGAAATGCTGAATGCACAGCACAAGCATACCTGTTAACTTTAAAAAAAATACATGCTCAAGCATTTGCCTGTAGCATGCTTTACCAGCATGCTAAGATCTCCTTGCAGAACTTCACATGCAACTTTTGCTCTTCATTTTACTAAGCATAAATATGATTCCCCATGTTTCTCTTTGCAGATAAAGTTGGAATTGGATGGCAGATTATTCCAGCCCACAGCACCAGTATTTTTCTCTATGATACTCAGTCAAATGTAACTATTCTGCAACTATTTATATAATTTGGTACATGCAAGTAGTTTTCAGACCAGCAAGTGCTATCTCATCCTTGCAACAAGATTACCTTGAATTCCAGAAACCTACAAGAGAGGCATGCACTGAGGATACACTTCTATGCACAGACTGCTGTCTAAGTAAGCTACTTTTCTTTCTGCAGTTGCCAGCATTCATGAAAGAAAGGAGATGCTTCTTATCTGTGTATCTCAAGCTGTAGAAATAAAAAAAAGCCCTAATCATAATGCACTCCGATTCTGTAAATCGGAGTTCAACAATTTGTTCAAACATATTTGATTTGTAAATAGCAGACATATCTGTGTTACACAGAACCATGATCTGTGATCACAGGATGAGTATCTCATACTGACAAGGGAGCAGAACAATGTTTTATAGTAATAAATGGTTTTTAATACTAAAGCCAGTTGTAATTACTTCTTTATGCATTTGCATGCTTGCTACGTGGGTCATCTTAAAACAGTGTGAGTGATACCTACAGTAATTGTAAGTAGTGGAGATTACATGATGCTGCAGGAGAAGGTAATCAATTCTACTGTAGGTCAGGTACATCTTTACTCTGCAGGGGTGACAAAAGTCAGTACTTGATTTATATTTCTCTCACACAGGGCCTATCACTTTTATAGTTAGTTATGAAGAAGACACAAAAAGAATCACTGTCTGTAGTGGTACTCTTCTAAGTACACTGCAAGGAAGAAGAATTTAGCTCACCTTCTTTGAAACTTCCTAAATCCATTAAGCATTTTGCCACTGGGCAGTATTAATCCTGAAGCAGAACCAAAGGTGTTGCTTTCTCTCGATTTCCATTTCTACATGTTGTTTTAAAGTCTACTTAGAGAAAATGAAGAAGTGCTTTCACCTCCTCCCTCTATAGTAACAAAGTAGAATAGATGACTGGAACTTAAAGAATCGTCTTATTGTTCAAGCTGAAAGAGACCGTGACTGTTAGTATTAAGTCGGACATACAGAAGTAACCCTGGACATACTTTTTTTGTTTTAGCTACCTCTCCCTGAGGAGGAGGAGGGTAGGAGGAAGGTGCTAGAGTAAATGCACACTAACAGCCTAACCAGGAGTTCCTTTTATCTTCCTTGTCACAAAAGTCTTCAAATTGTTCTGCAAGGCTAGACCGTTCATTTTGGGTCTAACCAGGAAGTCTAACCATTTATTACAGGAAAATCATAGAACGCTTCTTGAACTGTCAAGCTCGGTGCTGTGACCATGGCCCTGGGGAGCCTGTTCCAGTGCCCAACCACCCCCTCAGTGGAAAACCTTTTCCTAACATCCAACTTCTCTAAAGCTTTCAGCATCCCCATTTGCTTTAGAGAAATACTTGATTTACATCCATGCGTGCATCTGGCCTGGCCATACCCTTGTACAGGGATTTGCTGCAACACAGGGGAATCAGCAAGTATGTCTTTATAGATGGTTCTTCAGTCAATGAACTAATGAAATTGCCAAACTCCTACAGGAAGCAGCTTGGGTTCTTATCATCATCTTCCCACCAGTGGAACCAAATCACTGTCAGAGCTCTCTTTTCAAAACAGAGTATCTACTGTAACCACGGTGCAGGAGGAAGGTAAGATTAGCAAATGGCCGCCTAACTTGGCAGAAGCAAGTATTAAATGATTACTCTGTAAGCTGGTTTAAAAGCACTGGTGCAGAATCCAGCCCAGGAACTCTGAAGAAAGCTATGCAAGCAGCAACTGTATGATAAAACCATTTTATAAAGAATCGTGAAGACGAAAAAACATCTTGTAAGCATTAGGTCCATAGGAACACTAACAATAAAAAAACAAAGGCCAGACCTGAACGAGTGCTCAGAAAGTAAAGTGCCCTTTTACTAGATTATTGCATACTTTAAATATCTTTTCTATTCTATTCTAGGGATAAATTTTACATTCTTTCTCAAAGTAAATGGGCACATTTACTCCAATACATGAGGACAACATTCATTGAAAGGTGAATTTCCCTCTTAAGTGTTCAATAAAGCTGTCACATACCAGTGGCTATGTCTTTTTACTCTTGCACACACTGTAAAAAAGAACCATCTAATTTCAAAGTTGTTTTCCATCTCCATAAAAACATACAAGAGTATAGTCAGTACTTGTCTAGGGAAGACTATCCAAGAATGTTAACTATATGAAAAAGAAGACAAAAAGAAATGTATCCTCGATGCAAATAAAAATTCAAACTAAAAAAAAGTCTCTCCCTTGCAGAAAAATAATCACCTACTTAAGCGTTTATTGTACAGTAGGTATAACTGGTATAATTTGTGTATGTATTCAAGTACTTTCAGCTAAAAGTAACCAACACGCAGCCCAGTTAAGCATGTTTTATACAAGTTCCTGGAGTACCTAAACCTCCCACATTCATTCCAAATAGTACAAGAAAAAAAGGCAAATGGCAAGGATTAACCTCTTCAGCATTGGAACCACATTTTCCCCCAAGATTTACAGACAACAAATAACCTCAACTGCACCTGCAGCACTATTCTTACTCACACAAGAAGTTCCAATTGTAAAAGTAAAGGTTCATCAAAACAGGCCCCGAGATGAAGCAATTAAAAATTGTAACCACAGATAACACAGAGCGTTTATTCACTGATTGTCACATCTATGCAACTGCAGGAATGTGTTAGCTTTTTGGACACCCTTCTCTCCCCACAAAAAGTCATTCACTCTGCATAAACAAGGGAAGAACAGTCTGGTCCCAACTATCATCCCAACGCAGCTGCTTGGATGCACAAAGGTTTTTTCTGAAATTGTGGAGTTTGCCTTCCAGTGTGGGAAATTCCAGGAAAAGCATCTGTAAGTTTAAGAAAAACAAACAAACAAACAAAAAAACAGAAAAGTATCATGTTATATTTTGGATTAATTCTAGTTTCTCAGGGGTAACCCTCTGCTGTAACCCTCTGAACAGTTCAATATCACAATATTTAGTGCGTTCTTGCCAACTTCAGATTTGTATTCAAATAGAAATGTGGCCAGTACTATTTGTATTCAAATAGAACTAGGGCCAATAAGATCCACCAGGCAAAGAAGTATCCTCTGAGAATGCAAAATACACAGAGGATTATCACACAAGAAGGTAGCTTATATGGTAACACCTTTGTGGTTAAAGCTAGCGGAAAAGAAAAATCTGTCAAGACTTTACCTTCAGTTGTTCTGCAAGTTCACTGGAATCCCTGAATATCAGACCGTTTTCATCATGTTTCACAAGTTCATGTAAACTGTGTACAAAAGTAACAAAACAACAAAAAAAAAAACGAAGGGAAAAAGAACAGTGAGTGGGACATACACGTTTAAAAAGTTGCAGTGTATCTGAAGAGACATGGCTATGCTTTACACTTTAAAAACCTGATGTCTAGATATGAACGTTACATTCCTGACAAAATGGAACAAAAGGCAGTTATAAAAGTTAAATATAAGATTGTTCCCCTCTATGCCATACTATTTAGGTTTACCATTACAGTAGGTCCCTCACTTTGTCATTGTGCCACTCGTCTGCACATACAACGCAGATCAGGGCAACATCTACTTTAACCCAGAAGGAAAATCTGTACATGAGATCTCCACAGTGAATACATTTTTAATTGAAGGACTGGAAATTATAAAGCTGACTGCGTACATTCAGCCCTTCACAGAAGAGAGACATGTCTACGCAGAACATTTTTTTTTTAAATGAAGTATATGGAAACAAAGGATTACAGGGGAATTATTTTTTTTTTTTGAGGCAGCTGGTTGCAATAAATGCTCCAAAGATTGTAAAAACTGGTGTTAATTTTTAGCCAACCAATTGAATCAAAACTAAGTTGTTATGGCATAGTACTGGGATCTCATCCGATGCATGCAGAAGCTAGTAAACCATTGGCTTGTTAGAATGGCGTTTTATATGATCTATTAAATTGTATCAGAATAAGCAAGCTCTTACCATTCAAAATATATTGCACATACAGGTAAACAACAGCCAAACATATCTACCACCTTCATAGGTAAATCCAAACCACTGGATGATTTATGGAGACACACACCCAAATCTGCTGAGCCTGAAAAGCAAACAAAACACACAAGAGCCTAAATTCTCGGAAAGCATCTCTTCTAGTCTTATTGTGAACCCTTCTATGCATGTATTTCTTTGGGTGATACGAGCTAAACATAAGCTATTTTCAATACTATTCAGACTGAATCAATTTCAAGTTGTAGAAAACTTGTGTATACACATATATAATATATTCACACACACAATATACATCTATACATACACACACACAATAAGCTATATATTTACTAAAATTAGCCAGGTTTTAGAAACATACCAAGCAAGTACATATTAAATTAAGGGGAATTTTAAAACCTCACATATCTGAAAACAGCCTTGCTGTCTCTTAATCTGCTAAGAATGGTTAAGTGCAGAGGAAAACTGCCACAATTCAAACAGGACATGCTGCATTGCTCATGAGCGACTTCTTCCAATTTGAGTGATTTCAAGACAGAGAAGTTGCAACGCCATTTTATAGGCGTTATATTCATTACTTTAAAATTACCCTATAAACACCATGTTTTACAGCCACATAAATAGGCAGGTTCGAAAAACAAAGAAGAGCAGATATACTTGAAAGTGTAGTTGGCTACTGTATTACGCTTACTCACACTTCATGCTAATACAACGAACATGCTAAGGGAACACTATTCCAAGACACGTTCATTTAAAATTTCAGCTTTTTTGGGTGCTTAGCCAAAAGTTTACGATAATCAGGTACTGACCTGCCCTGTAAACTAGAACACAAACAGGCAAGCTGTATTTCAGCATAGAAGAAAAGTACAAATAATGGACTGAAATACCAATGCAGGTATTATGCTTATTTCTTGGGATAAGAGTGATAAATGCAGTTAAAGAAATAAGCAATTTTGCTTGCCTAGGTCAAAAACACAAGTGGTATACATGTACATATCATCATTTACCAGCAAGTTAATTTTCTTACTACATTCTGCTATCTCCTGCACATAACGTCTATCAGCTATTCACAACTGTGTTAAATTGTTTTTCACACATTATCAAATCTATTTCATAATTCTCTGATTACCAAGCAAAAGAGGGTAATCCTCAGCTTCAAGCCAGGGTGTACAGATCTGGATATGTCTGAAGTGCAGTTTCTTTATCAGTCCATTATAGTATTCTTTTAGTGGCCCTTTGCCTGTTTAAAACACACACAGAAAATATAATAATGATTGAAAATAAAGTGCTGTCTGCGTACCTTGCTGTACAGATGACAAAGTCCTGTTGCCTCAGAAATCTCAGAATATACCAACCATGATTGCCCCAAAGATTAAGTCCCATTGAAAACAAGGTGAACCTATATTTTCTCTCTTTATTTAGTATTTAAAGGAGCCTACTGTCAGTG